AGTTCACCTTCATCATGTTCTAGTAACGTAACTTCGATTTTCCCTAGTGCCCCTTCTCTGTACGCAGTTGGCCATACAGCGGCTTCTTGTGTATCCGCGTCGAATCCATGCGGCTGATATGTCCGATCCACCTCAGATGCCACAGCAAAAGTACGCAGTCCACTGCCTACATGTCAATGCGGAGCAGGACATCCGTAGCTGAAACTCCAGTTGATGGGCAGAATCCGACGTAAACACTGTGAGTATGAGCGTTTCAGGAAACCGAGGTCTTACCGGTACAGCGTCCAAGTTTCTCTGATGCACAGAAGAACGGACAATATCATCGGGTGGTATACATTCAGCTTCGTCTCAACAGTAAGATGGGTATTCATCCACACACGATTCTGCAGCTTGTCAAACCTAGCAGACGCCTTCATGACGCGGTTGCGCAGCTCACTGGCCATCTGCAGGTCGCTAGAAATTATGCTTTCAAAGTAACAAAATTTTGGTACAGTCTCAAATTCCTAATCAGCAACCTCGATGTGTGGGATCTCCACGTGCAGGTTGTGAAGGTTGACAAGCACTATAGCTTGTGATGATGGCAAGCGATATCCGCAGCCGCTAAAGCCGCTGCAATTCATCCACACTGTGTGCAAACAACGTACAGTGCTTTCGCCAAAACTGCATTATATCAGCAGCCTGTGTGCAGGTAGGGCCTGAAGTACCATCCGGAAGCATCCTCAGTGACTGCAACGTTGAACGACACACCACCTTCAAGAAGACTAAGTGTCTTTTGTTGGTGGCGCTCGGCAAAGCTGTCGAAGTTTGACTTGTTTTATTGCTATCTGATTTCCCGTTTAGAGGTCTTCGATAATGGTCGGTTTGCCTTTGCGAAAGTTCTTGCTCAGAAAAAGTCTGGAACGTAGCTCTCGTAATCTGTGGATCACTGCCGGAGACTGGAACAGCCGGTATTTTGTGAAGGACGAACTATTATTCAAGCTTCTTGAGTGCTGCTTCAGTAGTGGTAGCGGTGAGTGAATCGATCACAAATTACTCGCTGTAGTAGCCCAATGTCGTTAAATAGTCTCTCGGTTCTCACAGAATAACTCTGTCTCTACTTTCTGACATGGTCGATCTGGAACCTGATGCAGGATCATTGGTTTGCTGGCTGGACGAGCTTTGCGGGGCCGGGAGGCTGAACAGCTTAACACTTGATCTCCTATTGATCCTTCCTCCCGAACCAGAACCTCAGTTCCAGTGCTCGGCTATTGCCAAAGTTGAAATTGTGTCACCGCTGACTGTTTGCAACCCACGACCGCAAACAGAACACTGAGACGAGCCTGGACCGCGTTGTATACATCTGAACTCTGCTTCACTTAAATAGTCTTTAGTGGTGGTAGAAGAAATGTCAAGGAAACACGTTGGAGCCAACCAACAACATAGATGACACATACCAATGAGAAGTGGTTAAAGAAGGATCTAATCGTGTGCCAGCCGATAAAATTACCGAAGTGATTTGTTTAAACTAATGTCAAAAAACAGACGATGGCAAAAGAAAAAAGCTGGTAACTAAGAATTGTAACAAAAATATGTGTTCAGTGAGCATCCCCCCGGAAAGTTATAACCAAAGTAGGCTCAAGGAGCGTGTTCGGAAGGATGGCTGGATCAAACTGCGACTTCTTTTAAAAAGCAACCCGTCGCACGTCGTGAGTTCATCCCGGAATTTGAAGAATGGCGCTTATTCCCTTCAGACGTTATTCTTTGTTTTGGCCATCCTCCCGAAATGGGGTTCGCAACGCCGCGAACGGCACGTCTGCTTCCTTATGGGGAATTATTTCTTGCAGGCGAGCTGTCGTTACTGCCAGATTTGTACCAAATTTACTGCGTCGAGCTCTTCCTGTTGCTGTTCAACTATTGGAAGATGAGCTTTCAACATAGCATCCGCGATGAACATTTCTCTCCACGGGGTGTACACAAGATGTGTTACGTATTTTCGGAGCTGGGTAGGCATAGGTTGAAGACGTCGAAGTACACTGTTCAACAGTTCACTGACTATTGACACGAGCCATTTTTGGTCAGTATACACGGTAGTCCTCCTCCCAAAATTGTAAAAGTTATCACTCCATCGCGCATACAACAGCGAGCAACATTTTGCGAGTTGTGAATAGCGATGTTCCGCAATTTTTGGCGTCCGACTACATAAATCCAAGTATTTACCATTCTGCATGAGAACGACACCTATTCTGGTCTGACTGCTGTCAAATTGTACTTTCAAAGGCGCAGCTTTATTGTGGTAGTCGAGCATTGGTGCGCAGCTGGTGAGATGCTTGAAAGTCGTAAAGGCGTCGTCCTGCAATTTTCTAAAAATCCACTTCACACTTTGTAAGTTAGCCTCCGATTGAACGTCATGATTTTAGCAAGCCTTGGCGAGAATCAGCTCAAATAATCCACCATGCCATTTAAACGACTAACAGGCTTGAAATGCTTGGGTTGTGACATCCCTTGTACAGCCTTGGTTATTCCGGGATCGACCTTGACTCCGCCAGATGTCAGAGCGTGCCCATTAAAATTGGCGTCATGTGCTTGATCAGTTGAGCCTTAAATCAACACTTCGTCTGCGACAAATGTTACAATTTTTGGATTGTCAGCAGCTTGAAACAGTTAAGTTAAACCCTTAGAACAAAATAGTAAACGTATCCATCATAAACGCCCGAAGTTGGTGCCGAACGCTGTTAGAAAACTGGATTCCGCATCTACGGCCAGAACGCTGATGATAGATCAACTTTGGTGCAGTACTTTGCTTTAGCCAAACGCGGTAGGATATCTACTAACGTGGCAGCATATCGTGTTCCTTAAGTAATGCCTCACTCAACGGCTTGGGACATATGCACAACCGCGAATTATTGTACTGTTTCGTAACCACTGGGGTTTGACTAACCTAATCTGTCAACTCGTCGGCCTTAGCGATTACCCCAACTGTAGAAAGTTGATTACTTTGGTGGCGAACTTGTCGCGTAAAGCAAACGGAACACTTCTAGCTGGCAGCATAGTCGGTTGTATTGAATGATCTATTCACAAATGACCGGAACCTACGAAGCTTCTCAAACGCAAACTAAACACGGAGGGATGTTGTTTGTCTCCGCTTTATGCGTTTGCTCGAAAGGATGATGATTTAAATGAACACAGCCAAAACATTGAATGAAGTTAATGCCGTGAACTGGTGCGGCCACTTGTTCAAGGACCATGAACTCCAACTGATATGAGGATGCGTATTGGGGATTGAGCATTTTGTTTGTGGCCAATCCCTTTTCTATTGGAGCTTTGGGCCGTTCCACGTGCGAAGGGAGATTGAATTAGCTCGGAAACGAATTTTTGAGCACAACTTCGCAAGTGTTATGTTGACGGTAGCAGCGTGTCTAGCTGAAAGCGTAGGATTTCGTCGCCAACCAATAAACTTACATAGACGCACTTCTTTTGTCTCGTCCTCGACACATTACTGATTGAATGTTCCGAGTCTGAGGGTGTTGTATCACGATTGCGTGCATTCACTTTAGAAGTATGACAGTCTAGAGCGAAATGCTCCCGTCTACCACATTTGTTGTAACTTCGGCACCACGTCGGATGTTGATCACGATCATTTGGGCGTCGCACGGCGCAGAGTTTGCAAGCTTCTGGTACCTTGATAACAGGTTCGAAGTATTTTTAGGCATGCTGGATACGCAAACAAGTCTGCACCACTCGACAACGGCATTTGTTGGATGTGATGTGGAGCTGAAGACTCACTGTGGCATATATCAATGCATTGTCTGAAATATAAATGCCGTTGCCTCAACAGCTATTTGGTGATTCACAACACAGTTCTATTTCGGATAAGACCGCCATCCATACAATTGCAAAGTTACAGGAACGGGCTAAAATAGTCAGCATCGTAACTTAGTTCTCAACTGATTCGTCCGGGCGTCTGTTTCGAGAAAAAAACGGATACCACCGATAGGTTTCGTTGGTTGGTTTCAAGATCATTTTGGTGTTCATGCTTTTCGTACTGCATCGTTTCCAGAATGCGGCTTGCTTCATCCTCGATCCTACGTCGAAACATTGCCAAACGATACGACGTTGGTTGTTCGTTTAGGCGCACCAATACGCAGAAATTGATCTACTCGCTATTCCAAAGTCTCCAATTACTAGCCAAGTTGTTCCATGGGGCAGGTGTTTGTATGGCTGGTTGCGCTCCCGTCGTCGACTCAGCACCATCCGGTGGCTTTGTCTGACCGCATGTCGCAGAACTCGGACCATCAGGGACAGATGGTTTATCCGACAAAGCAATCGCATAGAAATGACAACATAATTAGCCTTTAGTAGTCTCGGTATACATAACTAGGCCATTTTCATAACCCAAGACGCTTCTGCATTTTTGAATTGCTTTTTCTGCTCCAGTCAAACAGACTCACTCCAGCGCAGCCAGATAGTAAGCAATCAGTGTGAAGGCGGTGATGTGTAGGAGTACGGTTATTTGCTCCTTTCACTTGCCACAATCGGCCTGCTCGTTTAGTCATGTAATCCGTATTGTTCCTCCGATTACACAATCATATTACAGGTAGCCATTTTGAAATCTTGCGGCAGTCTGTACGGTATGTTCCGTTGAATGCTAGGATAGATCTTTGGTACCTTAAACGTTAGCTAACTCCGAATTTCAAGTGTCTACATTCGGGGAAAGGTAAAGCCAAATACCGAAGTGTCCTATCCAAATGTTAGCACGAAATTTGCAGTGAACTATAGAGAGTGCATCCGCCTTCCGCTGAGGTCATCATGGTAATCCTGTATCATGCGCTAGGCGCCAAGTGATAGCGTTCAAAATGTTGCACTTCATTAGCCGATTTTCCCACCTGAATTCCAGGGCAATGATAAACATGTCCTACCAATTAATGGAAACAAATGCGTGAAGATTTACTAGAGCCTATATCGATGGTTGTTGGGGTAGATGGTCCAGAAAATCGGGAAACGTGTTGCATTTGGACAAATACCTGATACGCATGCTGATCGCCCATCTTCCGCCCGTGGTCGTGTACGGTTGAGGGGAGAAAGTGGAACTGGATATCTGGATGCGCAACATCAGCGGTACTTCGAGCAAATCCCCCAGTTTCCAGGTGCGCTGTTGCTCCCCATCCTCTACGGAATAGGATCCATTTCAGACCGATACCAAGCATTTGGTGCGGAAATTTCCACTGAGCTTTGTACAGTGTGATCGGCTGTGAAAAATGGAACGAAGAGTAGAAAATGCATTTTTACTTAGTTATAAGTAAGTGGTCAAATGACGACGCCGAAAGAAAGCTTTTTGCAAAATTACACTAATACCAGGTCGGAGATGTCAACTCTGGATTCATCTAACATGCAATATGTTGCCAAAGATATCCTGATTTACCTTATCGCAACTGTGCTGCACATAGACCTCTAGATGATCCTGTAAATTTTGACCCACGCCAGGTAAATGGTGCAGTGGTTCGACTCCAACTGAGCGTAGGTGGTCAGCATCTCCAATACCGGAAAGCATCAGTAACTGGGGTGAGTTGATTGCACCACCGCTGAGAATTACTTCTCTCTCTGCAAATGCCTGTAAACGAATTGGAACGCAAGAGAAGTAGCTTTATCTTTAAGTTTGTTGCTAACTATGAAGCACCTGTACACATAAGATGAAGACAAATATGAAGGAGAGAACAGATGAAACGCCGGAAAGTGCTGTATATCAAGTGCCGCAAATGGAACACAGCTGATGTCCACGCAGCGTTGCATCAAACCATTGGAGCAATGGCCCATATGAGTAGCTCTCCTATCTCCAGGGTTTGGCTGTGTTGTACAATGTCTGCTGGGTTCTATGAGGAAAATAAGCGCTAACTAGGATGAAAACACGGAGACATAATAAGCAGCCAAAGAGAAACCTGGGTAACTTGTTACTAGCTTCGTTGCGAGTACAGCTAACATGTGTACTTCATTTTCCCATTAAACTTGGCGGACTAAAACAGGCTTCTCTGTTGTCATCAGGTAAAACAATTCCCCACATGACCTCGTACATCAAACCGGACTACTGGTTTGCCATACTACACCTAGGCTGTGAAACTAAGAAACTGAATAGTTGCTTCCATTAAAAACATCAAATGCGCCACTCCTGGTGCTAAGTGAGGACGAGGTGGAAGGAAAATACGGTCAATGTTGTATGCAAAACAGGCAACAACGAAATACCATTAATCTCCACACCATATTTGTACAACATTCAAGATGCATTATTTTTATCTGAATGGAAGCGATGCGTTTCATATGCTACACATTCAAACAGATGTTACAACTCGACCATTCATGACAAGGTAGATAAAGGTGGCTGAACAGAAGCCTACAGGACAGAAACAGAATGAACTAAGACCAACTGTTATAGTATCCAACTCCTTCCATCGTTCACATCCCACCAAGAGCGGGACTGCGCCAGTCCGTAGACTTCGTGTGTCTCCGTGAAAAATCATAACTTTAAGCGTCTGGGTCGGGTTCGTTCTTGAGACTCTATGTGTGCTCCCATTCATGCCTCACCGAATCATCCGATCATTTCTCAGAACAATCCAAAGCAATCCCCGCGTACACGACATGTGACAACTTCGGCGTCCGCTTGCCTTGAGTATCCGAACTCATCCAGACATCTAAGCTGACCAGGCAGAATAGTACTGTAGTACTTTGTCTTAACAGTGCCTAATGCATGTATTGAGTTGATGCGTTATTCCGCGTAAACAACAGCCATAACTTTTCGTAGTTAATTGCACCATTAGTGGCCAGATTCGTAAGGAGCAAGCCGGGTTTCGTCGAGGATGGAAGTGTATCGACCACAAAATTTCATTGTGTCAGTTGTTGGAGCATCGTTCTCTCTCTCTCTCTCTCCCTCTATATATATATATATATATATATATATATATATATGCCCCATGCTAAAGCTGATGTTGCATTCATGATGCAGTTGGGCTAAACCAACTTACACTTAAACTAGGTCTTTTTAATGTGGATAAAATTCATTACATGTTATTTGGTTTGTTCTGCGTACTTGATAATCTTCTCCTTACTTGCACACGTCACTCAGGCAAATTGTGGTAAACTTGCGTAATTTTATTGCGTGGTAATTTTTAAATAACTTTCGGAAATTTTGTACTTATCACGGATCCACTTATAACCAATTTCTTCTATATACTCATTTAGCGAGTATTTATGTCGTCATATGTGTGTAGTTTATTCGATATCAGCATTTCGAATGATTGTCTGTTGTTTGACATCCCAGGTGTGGCTGCGCTTGATGTGCATGTTGACAAGGTGCCTACCTGACTATTACCTACTACCTCGTCCATATATATATATATATATATATATATATATATATATATATATATATATATTGGGCGGCATCCGGTTTTGGATTTGCCTGTCATTGTGGTCAACCACAGGATGCATGCGCCTACAGAGGGACCATGGATGGCTTGCGCTGCAACACCCACAGTTCCATCCACACACCCCATATCCAGTGTAAACCCGAAGGAATAAGACCGGGAGGCGTGTGGATCGGAGCCACGTTAGATTAACGGAGCCGGACCACACTCCGTTACAGGCAAACACAAGCACGCGGTATTTGGGAATCAAGCGCACACAAGGCCGTGGCTGGACAGTAGTCTGCTCCACACTGAGTGCATGGAACCACTTTGATCCTAACACGGCCACAAGGACCGTGCACCCCCGTCCCCTCCAGCAACGACCAACTGTCTCCTAGAGCCAGTATGGACGAGGTAGTGGGTACTAGATAGGTAGGCATCTTGTCAACATGCACATCAAGCGCAGCCAAATCGGGGATATCAAGCAACAGCCAAATGACTTAAAACGACAAGATGGAGTAAAAAAAGAAAATAATGCCTACAGATACGGCGGCATAACCATACACTAAATATGCGTATAAGAAATTTTTCGAGACACAGTAGCTGAGGTGTTCCCCACCTCTAGCTAACGTGTATGATGATGATGATGTATAAGAAATTGATTACGAACGAATCAGCGAAAGGTTCAAGAAGTCAGAAAATATATTTTAAGCAAATGTTATCGAAATTAACTATAAGTGGTTTCATCGATGTGTGCAAGTTTACAGACGATAGTACAGGTAGACAATAATATGAGAAGAAAAATCATTAGGACAAAAATGAAAACCCACCACCTGAAATAAACAGGCCCAGCATGCTAGCACGAGGTTAGTAAAGCGAATGCAGCGTACCAACCAACACTGCGCCTGTTCTGCCTACCTTCCCTGCAGGACGCGTCGTCGCTTGGTGGTGGTCCCGAGTGGCCTCGCTCATGACACACTAGACCTGCCTGACTCAGGCACTCACGACCGCATATGCTACAGCACCATGTGCTAGATGACGATGGAGTACAACCCATCGGTGCTTGCCGCTTCCGCACTTGCTGCTTCTTCCTGCAAGCCTGAGGTCTTCCTCCCGCACTTCGGCAACCGCCTTCGTGATTAGGTCGCGCAATGCACGCCGATCAACCGCCTTCGATTCCCATGACCTGCAATCAAGATTAGAACGTGAGAGGCTCAATTTGATCATGTCCTGGTAAGGAAGTTTAGGTTTCCCCGCATTTCCGCTTGCCAGTACTCAGCTAACCATATAATAGTTGTTTCCGTATCCGCGTTGAATCCATACGGCTCACATGACCGATCCACCTCAGGTGTCCCAGCAAAAGTATGCAGTTCACTGCATACGTTCCACTTCTGTGCAACATTTCCGTGTCCACAACTCTGTCGCCCCATCCCATGCGCAGAATCCGACGCAAACCCTGTTGATGGAACCGATCGAGATATCGCACATCCCGCTGGTACATCGTCCATGTTTCGCTGCCGGATACAGGAATGGACAACATCAGGGATCGGTACACCATCAGCTTCATGCCAACGGTAAGCTGATGGTTGTTCCACACTCGTTAAACTAGCTTCCCGAATGCCGCCACTGTCTTCGAAACACGGATACGCAGCACACTGTGTAGATACTGGTCAGTCGACATCACAGTCCCAAGGTAGCAGAAGCTGGAGGTGGTTTCCAATACTTCAGCACCAATGTTAATCCGCGGCACCATTGCAGATTGCACGTCCGGTGGAGGCTAAAAGAAACAGACAGTTTTGCTTAGGTTAGTGGTGAGCCCGAATTTGGCCGTTGTCGAAGCCAGAGCACCAGTCATGTGCTGCAACTCATCCGCGCTGTGTGCAAACAACGCACAGTCGTCAGCAAACAGCAACATACAGATAGTTGTCTCACAGACTAGGGTCCTCGCACCGAAATAATGGATGTTCAGCAACCCATCAACAATACGGTGAAACACACGATCACCGCAAGCACAAGCGGCATCAAATTACAAGACATCATTGCATGAAAATAAATATTGAACAGGGCAGCAGCTAAGATACAGCCTTTCTTCACACCAGAGACAAATGCAAAGTCATCCGAGGTCTCTCCACTCAGCTGAACCCTCGTTCGCATACCACTGTGCAGACATTCAATTAAACTTACAAACTTACGAGGCAAGCAAACTTACCCAACACCAGCCACAATGCCTCGCGGTTCACCATATCAAATGCCTTGGTGAAATCAACAAAAAGCGACTAGAATGGCTGGTGTCGTTCTCTGCACTTCTCCTGCAACTGACAAGCCGCAAACACCATATTTTTGGCTGTGTTGACAAGATCACTTTGTGTTAACTTTCTGCGTTCATTGGAAGTATTTCGTGGAAATTGAGCTACAATTCAGTTTCATTTCCAATTCTGAAATTTCCGACCAGAAATACTTGTGTTTTCATCGCTTGGTTTCGGCGATCTTGCTATCGCCATTTTCTTCGTCAATTGGCCGCCATCTTGTTTTCGGATTATTCACAATGCCGAAGCAGTCATCCTGTGGTACTTGCTCCAAACTAGTCGGATACCGTGCAAATGCCCTCACGTGTATTTTGTGCCAAGTTAAATACCACATTTCGTGTGTTGGATTATCAGTTGAGCATTTTCATCGTCTTCGCGAGATCCAACACGATTTCATCCAAACTATATGCGAAAATTGCCGAAATAAGATACAGCCAGAAAGAGTAAAGCCGACGTGTAGGCCTTAGCGTTTCGTTGCGAACAGCTCCGTGTGTTTGGCCCAACAACCTAGCGCGAAGAGCCTTCAGGTTTCGGCTCAATCGTCCTCCTCTACCCGTGCAAACTCACCGACACCAAGTCCAACCGTTGTGAGAAGCCCAGTTGCACCTGGCCTAAATTGTTTACCTTTGTTGTGTCCACCGGACACTGATGTCCCAGCAGGTGAAAGTCTGAGTGCTGAAGACCAGTGGAAAGAACAGAGGACGAAAGCACGAAGGAACGTTGAGCGTTTACGTTCTGTAAGTCAACAGTTAGCCAAACCACTTGAGGCTGGTAGTATACTTCGCCCAGCAAAGCCAATCTCGTCCTACCAGAGGCGTTATAATCTCGTGATATTTCACGCACCGGAGTCCAGTGATCCATCACCCCAAGTGCGCTACGATCACGACGTCGAGTTTTTACAGGGTCTAATT